TCCTGGATTAGATTCGTCAGTCATTTATCTAACTGTCAATTTCTGCGGAGACCTCCTGGGGCCGGCCGTCTGCTGTGTCTCCATCAAAAGATGGTTAACTGAGAGCAAAAGGCTGGCTCCTGCCCACCTTGGCTCCTGAGGACAGTCTCTCCCAGGGCTCGGCCATGTTGGGTTGACACCAGGTGAAATTCCATCGATTTTAGCTCAAAGCCAACCTGGAGCCAGCGGGCTTCTTGGGACACTAGAGTGAGAATGGGGTTTCTGTCTGGGTCCAGGAGGAAATGGGATCCCATCTGGCCTGAGAACCTGATTTGCTCATCCTCACGGCAGAATTTGGGACTGTGTTTCTTTCAGGGAGGGGGACAGAGCACTGAGCCAGACCCGGCAGCGCTCAGGACTCACTCCTGGCAGGGCTCGAGGAACCAGATGAGTTGCAGGGGATTGAACCCATGTCTGCCGTGTCTGCCTCACACCTGTGCTATCTCTCAGGCCCTAGGGACTGTGTTTCTTCTGCTCCTGCAGGTAAGGGCCATCAGCTAGAGAATTCCAGCATCTTGGATACGCATTGTTCGCATCCACGACCGGAAACTGAGGAAAGCATCCGAAAGGGCATCGCCGGGGCTGCCTGAGGGTGGGGAGTCCGGGGAAGTGCCTGATTCCTCGCCAACACTCAAGCCGACACTGCTGGGGAGGGACAAGTGTCCGGCTGCCCCTGCAGCCCTGCTGAGCGGCCTCCCCAGGGCTCTGTTGAGGGAATCGTGCTGGCAAGACCCCACTCCCAGCCCCAGCATGTCCTGGGGTCCTCCTCGACGACTGAGGTTGGTCTCTGCTTTTTGGGGAGGTTAGCAGGGGCCACGAAGATGGCATATGGGGAGCCGAGCTTAGTGACTGGCACAGGAGGCCTGATGCTGATCACAACCACGCAGTGCTGCGGTTGGCCGGAGCTGCCAGCCAGAGCCCAGGAGAGCGACGGCCAGGGCCTCTGCAGCCCCTTCCAGCATGAGGTAACTCAATTCTTCACCAGCTATGCGGAGTGCAGAGGAAGCCAGACAGGATGGGGGCCACCAGTGCTGACCTTGGCCCGATGCAGGGCCAAAGAGGGCTGGGAGGGGCTGGGGGAAATGGGAGACAGGCCTCAGGTGCCGCCCCCCAACGCCCTCCCAGGACTTCCACTCAGAGGCACGGCAGCCCACGGCAGAGGCAGCAAGAGGCCACCTCAGGGTAGGGCGCTGGGAGCTTGGGCCAGGGCCCAGGCCAGATGGGGCTGAGGCAAGGAGCAGAACCCGGGCCCATGTGCCCAGCAAGCTGTGCCAGCCCAGCCCATGCCAGCCCAGCCAACTCCGAGTTATATCAGGAGAAGGGATCTGTTCAGAAAACGCACCCATCTCTGCATATTCGCATATTCTATTTTGGGGTCTCTTTCTTTTTTTTTTCCCCCTTAGCTTCCTAGAAAAGTTCTCGTCATCAATTCCAACTTCACCTCTGCTGAACCGTGAAGGCTTGCTCTCTGTCCTTCTCCGCACTGTCCCCTCTTCAGCTGGGTTCTGCAGAGTGCCCTCGCCCCCCACCCCCCCCAACCCTGCGTGAGGCTCTGCCTCCACCACCGCCCAGGCTGCAAAGTCCAAGGTCATTCCTCCTGGCTCCAGGGTTCCCTGCACACCCCCGCCCCCAACTCCTGCTCCGGCCTCCCCAGCCAGCAGCCCCTATCCCTGTCTCGCCAGCCACCAGCCACACCCTGAGTGTCCAACTCCTCGGATGGGGTCTGTCCCTCTGAGTCAACTTCTCACTTGACATTGGCCCTATCGCCCAACTTAGAACTTGCTGATCCTTCTCTCAGGCCAAGCCAAGTGCCTTTTTTGGTTTTGTTTTCCAAATCCCTCTCAGACATTCCTCCAGGCTGTCTCTGGCACTGCGGCCAGCTCAGTGTCCAAGACCCGCGCTGCATGCCAAATCGCAACCCCAGCCCTGCATTTGCTGCCCTGCCATCGGCCCACGCACATCCTGCGGGCCGCCTCCCTTCCCTCCACTTCTCACATGCTCCGGCCCACCCGCGCCCCGCTGCAGCTCCGGTGTGGGTCCCCGGCGGGTCCCATCTGCAGGCAGAGCCCCGCACTGGTCTCCCCCTCCCAGTCTCACTTCCCACTAATCCAGCCTCCACGCAGCTGTCAGACATGGATCTCACACAGGAATCTGGTTCCCTGCTTTCGCCCAGAACGCTCCCCGAGGTGGGCCGTTTGCCCCTCGAGAAGCTCAGGCTCCACGGTGGCCTGCTCAGAGCTCGCACCATCCCCACTCTGGGACGGAGGGAGTTTCCAAGACCACCGTCCCCGGCCTCACCGTACGATCTGAGCCAGTGTCCTCACTTCTGTTTGGCGGAAGGGGAGGTGTTTGTTTTGGGGCCACACCTAGTGATGCTCGGTTCTTACCACTGGTTCTGTGTTTAGGAATTACTCCTGGTGGTGCTCAGGGGACTATATGGGATGTCAGGATCAAAGCCAGGTCGGGTGTGTGCAAGAAAAACGCCCTACTCCCTATGCTATCATTCCAGCCCATGTTTTTTGGTTTTGTTTTGTTATTTTTGGTTTTAGGGACTTGGGCAATGCTTAGGGCTTACTCCTGGCAGTTTTCAGGGGTCACTCCTTGTGGTACGTGGAGGTGTTAGGGATTTAACTCAAGTCAGCCTTGTGCAAGGCAATACCCTACCCACTGTACTCACTCTCTCTGACCCTAACCCTCACTTCTCTGAACCTCGGGGTCTCTTCCCCAAGTGACTTCAATGTCGATTCCTCAAGTCTCTCCCCAGCGCCAGCTCACATGGCTTACGGCTTCTTCGCTGGTGTCCTGCCCCCAGCCTCCCCACTCTGCTTCGGGTGACCCTGAAGCTGCTGCCCCTCCCTTTTAGGGGAAGCCAGACTTCCCTATGGGTCTTGGAATGACCCCGCCCCCCCCCCGGGCTCCCCACTTCCAGCCCACTCAGCTACACCTTCCCGACCTCAGCTTTGATGCCCACACCCTGACCCTAACAAGTCAGTGACCCTGCTCTGAGCCCCCAGCCGGGCAGGCCAGGCCAGGCCTGGCTCTCACTGGGCTTCGGTGGGCTGTCTCTTAGCAAAGGCTCCGAGTTAAGAACCTCGTTGAGTACCTGGCACGGTGGGTGCTCAGAGGTCATTTGCCACGGGTGGACAGGGCAGTGGCGAGCAAGGAGCCCTTGACCCCTGGAAAGCCCCGGGCTCAGGGACGTCACTGACCAGCCTCCACAGCATTCTCAGGCCATGGCCGCAGGAAGCCTGGCCAAAGTGCCGAGACGCTGGAGGAAGAGTTGACAAAGGGAAAGGGAAAGGGAAAGCGTGGGACGGCGCGGTTCTAGGAAGCCATGTGGTTGGTATTTGGGGGGTCAGTGCCAGGCTACTTTAATGTTCCACAGCCTATCAGGACTGGGGGAGTTTGGAGCTCCAGCGTCCCGGAAGGCAGGCCCCGGGGACAGGGTGCAAGTTGGTATGACATGGAAGGCATAGAAGGGCTGTGTCAGCCCCATTCCACCGAAGTCAGCCAGCGGTGAAGGAGCTGGCCTCTGTGTCTGCCGCAGAGACATGGGCGGGGCCCGGAGACAGCTTCCTAGTCTCAGCTCTAAACCCCTGGGGGACCACTGAGGCACGGGAGGCCTAGCAGAGGGCAACCCTGAGCCTGCTGCCGGAGGGGTAAGGGTGGGGAACGTGGAGGCCTCACTCTGGATGGAAGAGCGGGTGCTCGAGAGTACCCCCCTTATAGAGCATTGCCCACGAAGGCCATGGTGTGCTAGGGCTAAAACCAGGAACAAGCAAAGGGACAATGAACCGTGGCCGCGCTCCTTGGGCCTCTGGGCTCACTGGGAGGGACAGGCGAGTGCTGGGGGGTCCGCAGGACAGAAAGGCAGCAGTCACAGGCCACACTGAGGAATCCGGTAGATGTGTTGCTGTTTGAGGCCCCTCCCGGTAGGGCTGAGGGGTCACTCCTGGCAGTGCCGGGGACTGAACCTGGGCCTCCTGCATGCGAAGCTAAGCGTTCATACACGGGGCCACCTCCAGACTCTGGGCAGCCACCCAGCAGGTGCAGTTCTTTTTTCCTTTCTGTCCTGGGCCACATGTGGTGGTATTCAAGGGCCCCTCTGTGGTGCAGGGGTTGAAGCTGGGTGGCTGTGTGCAAGACAAGCGCCTGACCCACTGTCCCATATCCAGCCCGGCAAGGTCACAGCTGCAGAAACTTCTGTGCCATGTGGACAACAGCACTGGCAAAGGCCAGGGCTCCTGCCCAAGGCTCTGGGCAGGGCAGTACCTTTCCACCACGGGTGGGCGGAGGTGGCGGGGGGGGGGGGGGGGGTTCTCCTAACAAACTATCCAGAGCAAACGAAATCCACTCCTTCGTCGGGGCCTTGTCTAAGCTGCAGCAGAAAGCGCCGTGCGGAGGAGGGGAGCCGGGCAGATGGAGCGGCAGCTTGGGGGCTGGTGCCCTCCCCGCCCCGTGCCCACGGCTCGCAGTCGCTGCAGCTGCCTGGCATCGTGGGTAACTGCTCCTGCATTCACGCCTGCAGGACAGAGGAGGGTCCTGCCTCCTGGCGCGGCGCTGATGCCTGGCTTCTGGCATCCTTACAGGGTGGGCATCCAAGAATGCTGGTGGGACGAGGCCAGGGAATCTCCCGGAAGCCTGTGGGAGTGATGCGCAGACACGCTGCCCCTCTCCGCACTGTGGCGGGCCGCGGGCGGCTCGGCCGCATCCGCCTTTTCCCGCACAGGCACACCCCAGCACCCCGGTGAGTCCCAAAGCACCCAAGGGGCAGGGGTCTCTCCGTGGCGAGGTCTTCCCGTGGTTGTGGGCATCACACGGAATCCCCCGCCACACACCTCAACGTCTCCAGCCAAGGCCCAGGCCAGCCCTAACGCTTGAGGTCACAGCACTCCGTGCTGCAGACCACAGAGGCGGCCCTGCCCACTGTCTCCGCCGGCAAGGTCAGACACGGGCAGGCAGAAGGTCAAGCATCAGGTGTATTGGGGAGAGAGGAGATGGGGCCACCACAGGGACCCCCTCTCGGGCTGGGGGCAGGAGGCTTGGGATGCACAGACGGTTCACGGGGCACCTCCAGCAAAGATGAGCTCCAGAGCCGCCTGGATGTCCCCCCCGGTGGCCTGCAGGGCCCGCAGGCTCAGCTCGTCGTCCTGGATGCCCATGTCACGAAGCTGCTGCAGCTGGGGCTGCCACTGGCTCTGCAAAGACGGGGCGGGAGAGCAGTTAGCCAGACGCCGAGCCTCGCGCTGCCGCCGCAGACCCCTGGGCATGAGCTCTAGGGAAAAAGAGCGGCTTTGGAGAAAAAGTACAACTTTTTCTCTGTCTTGGGGGTAGTGGTTTCGGCAACACTCGGCAGTGCTCAGGGGTTACTCCTGGCTCTGCACTCAGGGACCACTCCTGGTACTGTTGGGATGTAAGAGATCGAACCTGGCTCAGCTTGCATCAGGCAAGAGCCCTGCCCACTGTTCTCTCTCTCTCTCTCTCTCTCTCTCTCTCTCTAGACCTTTGCTATTTCGGTTTGGGGTAATCTGTGTAAACTCGAAGCATACCATCAGTTTGCGCTGTTCCAATTTCCTATCTGTCTGTCTGTCTGCCTGACTCTCTCTCTCTCTCTCTCTCTCTCTCTCTCTCATACACACACACACACAATCCAATTTCCTGACACACACACACACACACAATCCAATTTCCTGACACACACACACAGGCGTGCACACATGGTGCGTTCTGAGAAAGGAGACAGCAAGGTCCAACCTGACTTGCTTTTCCACGAAGAGATTCTTCCTGTCCTCTGCCCACTGCTCTGTGAAGAAGCTGCTCCTGACTAGGAAACTTGGGGATGGGGAGATTCTACCCTCTTCTGTGTGCTGCAGGTTCCTCCCCCCGGTCTGCCTTCAGACAGGGCACGCTAGGGAGTCTGGTCTGCTAGATATTTTCACTTCCACAAATTTAAATCTGATCACTTGTTTTTTTTTAAGTTTTTGCGGCACACCCAGTGCTGCTTAGGGGTTACTCCCAACTCTGCACTCAGGAATTATTCTGTTGGTGCTTGGGGAATATGGGACGCGCAGGACGGAACTGGGTTGGCCGTGTGCAAGGCAAGCACCCTACCCGCTGGACCATCACTCTAGCCCCTGACTAATGGCTCCTGGAATTTTTATTTGGATTTTTACCTAGATTTTTTGGGGGGAGGGGCCGAGGGGGGCACTTTGGGTCAAACCTAGCAGTGCTCAGGGCTATTCCCGGTTCTGTGCTCACAAGTGACCCCTGGTGGTGCTCAGTAGTGCCAGGAACTCACACTAGGGCTGAAGCTGATGCAGCCGCACAGAAAGCAAGCACGGCGCTGTCTGCGGGGACCTCACTCCCTGGCCCCAGAACTGTCTCTGAGAATGTCAGCCTTCCTGACTCCACGGCTTCCCAGACAGTCACCCTCGGTTTCTTATCTAGAACCTTCACAGCTTCACTCGTCTCTCTCGGGAAGGAGGGAAAAGCACAACTTAGAGAAAAATCACGTTTTCACAGGGAAACTCAGAGAACGCAGCGAAGAAGAAACAGACTCAAGAGAGGCAGACTGGGGCTGGAGTGATAGCACAGCGGGTAGGGCGTTTGCCTTGCACGCAGCCGACCTGGGTTCGATTCCCAGCATCCCATATGGTCCCCCGAGCAACGCCAGAAGTAATTCCTGAGTGCATGAGCCAAGAATAACCCCTGTGCATTGCCGGGTGTGACCCAAAAAGCAAAAAAAAAAAAAAAAAAAAAAGAGAGAGAGGCAGACAGGGCTGAGGGCACGCAGGCATTTTAAAGCCACATAAACCACTTCAAACTCATTTTCCAGACTAGGAGAGCAGTGGCAGCTCCCAGGCTGGGCACAGCACAACTAGGTGTAACCTGGGGATGTGAAAGAATGTTAAGAGGGCCCCTGTCTCCTGCTCCAGCTGGTCCTCCCCCTGCCCTGGCCACTCAGGCTGGATCTCCACTTGGGCCACTGAAGCTCTGTGCCGTCCAGGAGGAAGCTGGCTCGGCCCTGGGCTCTTGTGAATGAAGGAAACACGGAGAGTTGGTACATGGCACTGGAGACTCCCGGGTGCCTGCAGGGGTGCTTGGTGACCTGTCCGTGAGCAGAACAGGCAGTGCTGCTGACCACAGGAAGGGGGTCTTCCTCCTGGCCCAGCTCTCAGGGCCTCACACCCAGGCAGGCTCCTGCTCACCATTTCTCAGACTAATCTCAGGATTTTCCTATTTTGGGGATGGAGGGCAGAGTCTATAGGCCACACCTGGTGGGACTCAGGGGACCATGTGTGTGGCACTGGGGTTGTACCGGGGACCAAGCCAGGGGCATCTGTGTGTAAGGCAAGTACGCTCACTCCAGCATGCTCTCTCTTTGGATTTTCTACACAAGGACACTGCCTCTGGCCTGGTAGTCTTTGCTTTTGGTTTCTGGGCCACACTTGGTGTGCTCAGGGCCAATTCCTGGCTCTGCCTTCAGGAAATCACTCCTGGACCACATGGGGTGCTGGGGACGGAACCCGTGTCAGCCTTGTGTGTGGCAAGCGCCCAACTTGCTGTGCCAGGGCTCCAGCCACCAGCTTTGTACCCGTAAGTACATCCCATGGATTCTGCACATGTGCTCAACCTGGACACCAGCCAGCTCACTGCCCTACACGCCACCACCCTGCCTGGCTAACCTTCCCTCACCCTCACAGTCAGCTCAGACACTCCGTCCTCAAGAAAGCTTAATTGGACGGCAGCTCTCCCCTCAAGTTCCGCCTCAGGAACTGCCTGGGAAAAGGATGAGAATCAGCTCACTCCAGCCAGCATGCTGACCCCCACCTGCTAAGCCCGGTCACTACGGGTAAACGGATGCATGCATCACTGAACAAACCCTGAGCCCAGCCAGCCTGTGGAGGCAGATCAGGTCACGGGTCAGCAGCGGCAGGCCCAAGAGAGCAGCCTTGGTGGGCACACCTCTCCATCACAAGGCCAGACCTACCTGGAGGCTGGGCTGCCCGGAAGCCTGCAGGGCATGCTGGAGGGCTTGGCTGAAGAGATCGTTGGTGATGGGGGTCCCTGACTGGACGCTGGACGACATTGGTGAGGTTCCTGAGGAATGGCCCTGGAGATAGACCCGTGGTCAGCGCCACCCTGAGCCATCTCAATCTCCCAGCAAGCTGCCCTGCTGTCACACCCCCCGCCCTATGGTGTCCAGGAGCCTGTGAGAGACAGAGGTGTTGGGAGACACTGTGCTCCTCCACTCCGGAAAGGCAGGTCCTGCCCTCTGTGGAAGCCCAGCACCCAGAGGCACAGCTGTGGAACGGGAGTGACCGTCCCCAGATGTCCAACCCCTTAGGTAGGGGATGTGCACGAACCCAGTGGGTCCAGGTCACGAGGGTCCCCTGAAGGGCTGTGACAGCATCCCACTGCATGTGGGCTCTGAGGCCGTCAGCAGGCGAGGGATGCTCACGAAACTGCAGTGGACGGTCAGCAGAGCTGTGGGTCCCATCAGCCGAAAGCACCGTGGCCGATGGTCAGCTAGGCGAGCCCTGGGCCCCTCTCGGAAGGCTACCCTCGAGATCGCAAACCCTCTTCCCAGCCCCTTCCCCATACCTGGGTGCCAGGAGTTGGTGTGTGAGAGCTGCTTTCCGGGGTGCTGGCCAGGGCCAGGGCTGTAGCCAGCTCGCTCTGGGTGATGGGCCGGGGTCCGGCAGCCCCGCTATACCCCAGTGAGGCCGGGCGGGAGCTGGGAGCACTGCTGGATGGCGTGGACCTGGTGCTCTGAAGAGGGGGCCAGCAAGTCAGGGCGGTGGTACTGGCTAGCTGCCAGACGAACCCCACCCCTGCTCCAGAACCACGGGGGCGCGGTGGTCCCCGAGCGGCCAGCTGGAAGCCTGTACACCACAGAACTCGGCCCATAGGCTGGAGAGCAGCACCCAGCTCAGGTGGACCCCATGTGCCCCCCGAAGGCTGGCAGCCAGGCCACCTACAGGGTGGAAGTCGTCCTCGTCATCCGAGAGCCCTTCCAACAGGAAGCCACCTGGGGGGGAGAGCAGATTTCAGGAGAACAGAGCGGCACAGGCGCCGCTCCAGGCTTAGCGCGGGCACTCCCGATTTCTCTCTTCCTCTCTTCCCTTGGAAAATTACAAGACAGATGCACGCTCTGAATCAAACCCAGAGTTCCCGAGGGACGCCCTCCACAGCACTATACATAGCGGGCTTGGGCCGGGATACCCCGGGGGCGGGAACGCGCCTCCCGCACTCACCTGGCATGTCCCGGTACGAGCTGGAGGGCAGGCTCCGGGCAGCGGCGTCGGCCCCAGGCAGCGGCGTGCTCCCCGCCACCGAGTGCAGAACCAGGATGATGGCATTGACCAGGGCTGGGTGGGCGGGGACCAACCTGGGCCAGGGCAAGAGAAGCCCAGAGTAGTTAAGGACGGAGCATCCTGGGAACCGACAGGGTTTCTCAGTAGCCCTCGCTGAGGGGCCGCATTGCCCTTAACTCGCTCCATCGCCAGCACCGCTCTCTGCCTAGCTCTGTCCTCCTGCTGCTCCGACCCAATGCAGATGCCCCCCATCGGCCCCTGGGTAGGCATGAAGGGCACGTGGCAGTCAGTGTCCAGCCAACTGAGATGTCTGCTGCACCCAGTAAGAAGCCCTTCATTGCCCGCTCCTGCCCTTCCAGCCTGAACAGCTTATTTCTTTTTAAAAAAGAAACTGTTATTTCTTTATTGGTTTGGGGGCCACATTGGGCGATGCTCAGGGGTGACTCCTGGCAGTGCTCAGAGGACCTAGGGGATGGGGGAGCTCAAACCCAGGTTAGCTGCGTGGCAGACCAGTGCCCACCCTGCTGTGCCACAGCTCAAGCCCAACTCTTAGCATCACAGGGATCACCGCAGCTGCCACTTTCCCCAACAGGCCGAGTCCACACTCGTACAGGGGGCCCAGATGGCACCCGGAGCGCCGGGTCGGTCCAGCACTATGGGTGCGGCTCACAGAGAGACCTTCCAGAGGCTCCCTCACGCTGACCGGCGCGAGAGGACAGAGCTGCCATTCGGCTCTCCACATGGCTGCCCGCAGGCCCCTGGACATCTGCTCAGTCCTCACATCCTGATGCAACCAGCCTAGACAACACCTGGCTTCAGGAGTGGCCGTGGGAGCGAGCACAGAGTACACTAGCTAGAAGGGACTACGTACGTGTCCAGCATGTTGGGGTCAGCAAAAACAGAGAAGAGGTCCTTGTCCTGGAGAACCCCTGCAGGAGACAGGGCTCAGTTCAGAGCCTGGAAACCCAGTGAGACCCAGGAGGGGGAAGAGGCTCGGGGCGCTGAGTGACCTGGGGCAGTGCGGCCACCTCAGGAGAAGCAGAGGGTCCGGGCACTAGAAAACGCATCCCTGCAGCTCTCCCTCCCGCGGCACCAAATGCCCACACGCTGGTCTCTGCCCTCATCTCGCTGCGCCCGCCCCGCCCCCCAGTTCATGCGGGAGTGCTCCCCGACTGTGCCCTCCCCACCCCACCCTCACCCCCCAAACCTCCCTCGGCACATGCAGGAGTGCTCCCTGACTGCACCCTCGCAGGGAGCTGCAGGCTCTCATTCAGGGTGCCACTGAGGTGTTGCTTATCTGTGGCACTAGAGGAACGGGGGGAGGGCAGGGGAGGGGGCTCCGTGGACGGACCACATCTTGGTTACCACCTGCCCCCATACGATCAGAGTCTCCTTGGGGCCCTGCCCTCTCCTGGTCTGCTCCGGCAATTCCTCCCACCAAGCCCACACTCACCCAGAGCAATGGGATCACTGCTGAGGCCTGGGGTGGCCACGATGATCTGATCCAGAGACTCCTTATTGCCGAGCATCTTGAAGACCTGCAGGAGAAACGTGCATTCCAGGAGCTCAACACTGCCTGGGCGCAGATTCCCACAGGCTGAAGCACTTCCTCCCCTGCGCAGACCCTGGCAACCACAATGAACAATAGCCCAGGAAACAGGAGACCCTCTTTTTTCTCTGAGACTGAGGCTTATTGGAGGGAAAACAAACAATAGGGGGAAGAGCAAGAGCACGTCACCCTCCCGCCTCCCAGTTCTTTCCCCCAATTCTGATTCCGATCCTGCCGGAATAAAGGCGCTCTTTACAAGGCCAAGAACAAAGGTTTCTCTAGGTCCCCAAAGTGCTTTTCAACCTCCAAACAATTAGCATTCGGTATTTGTATTCGTATAGGTACTGGGGCGACACCGCTGTACCAGTGTGGCTTCGATTCTCCTGCAGAAAGATGTCAGCACATTTCCCCAGCAGGGCAGTCCAGGCCTGGCGCGGAGAGGAGGCAGCTAGGCCATAGAATAGGGCCTGTGGAGCAGTGCAAGGGCCCAGGCCTGTCGCCATAGCTGGTCCCTGGGGCCGGTATCGGGGCAAATCGGACAACCAGCATCAGAGGGGACCCACTGCACCCAACCGAGGGAGGGAGCCTCTCTGGGGGGAAGAAGGGCTCCACAGAGACCCTCAGACATGGCAAACACTCCCCCAGGAACTCTGGGTAGCCATGACAACGGGCTCCTGGCTCCCACCGACATCTCTGCCAGCCAGTGTTCACACCCTCGCCCGCAGGCCTGGCAGGCCTGGGCGCACACTTGGCACACACTTACCGCCTCCCGGTAGGAGGAGCTGCTGTGCAGGGCTGTGTGTAGCACCCGGAACTCCCTCAGGGCGGCCACTTTGTCCACAGGCTCTGGAGAGAGACACCTGGTCACCCCGCAGCCCAGGGCCTGGCTCTGCTCGTCCCATCCCATCAGCACACGGCCGGGCACCGCCTGATCCGCAGCTCCCATCCCTCCATCCCCCGGTAAGGCCCATGCAGAGAGAGCCATTTGTGCCACGGCTGTGAAAACTGCACTTTCTTTTTTGGAGGGAAGAATGGGGGCGGGGGGTGTGTGTGCCACATCCAGCAGTGCTCAGGGATCTCTCCAGGTGGGACTCAGGGCACCCCAGGTGCTGCCGGGATTGGGCCCAGGCTGGCCGTGTGTACGGTAAGAGCCTACCAGCCGTTGCAGCTCTCCAGCCTGAACACTGCATTGTCTTTTATGCATCTTCAGTAGACACACAGAGGGGAATGAGACCATGTGAGAGAGACCCCTCCGATTCATCTCCTTTCTGCACGGACTAGAGACTTTTAAGGCTTAAGCAGGAGCAGGACTTAATCATCGCCGCAGACTTTCCTGCAGTGATTTAAAGTACTGTTGCAAGCCATCTGAACAATATGGAGCTACGCTGACACAATATGTTAAGAACAAGAATTAGAATGCAGAGTTGTGTGCGTATTTGCTGGTAAAACTATGTAAAATGTGTCAGTGTGCATGTGGTCCACGGTGGGAAGGGGAGAAGGCAGCAAAGAAAGGGGGACAGAATCGGGCAACTGTTTCCTCTCCAAGCGTTCCTTTTAGGTCTCCGTGATAATTCTGAATTTAAAGAAGAAATGAAACGATGATATAGAATCAGAGGTAAAGTACAGCAAGGAGGGCACTTGCCTCGTACACGTAGCTGACCCGGGTTCAACCCTGCATCTCACATGATTCCCCAAACCCCACCAGGAGTGATTCTTGCAGAGTCAGGAATAAGACGTGAGCACTACCAGGTACGGCCCAAAACCAAAACAAACAAAAAAGAATATAGGCATAAGACTTTTAGGGTTTTTTTTTCTTCCGCTTTTGGGTCACAGCCAATGATGCACAGGGGTTACTCCTGGCTTTGCACTCAGGAATTACTCCTGGTGGTGCTCACGGGACCATATGAGATACTGGGAATCGAACCCGGGTTGGCCGCGTGCAAGGCAAATGCCCTCCCCACTGTGCTATTGCTCCAGCCCACTTCTAGGGTTCTTAGAAAACTTCCATCACAAGCCTGACAGCCAAGAGTTTCATGAGAATTCGAAGGTCTTTTTTCATCACTGGACATGATCATTCATATTCTGGAAGGAAGTTTAGCAGCTGTCTGAATTTTATTTTGGTTTATTATTTAGAAGAGTGCAGTCTCTGCCCCCGCGCCTGGGTGTTCCTTCCCGGAGTCCCTTGGAGGGGAGCGGGTTGAGCTTTCCTCCCCGCCCCGACCAGGGCTACGGCAGCCGAAGACCTCCAGGACCAGCCACCACCATGCTGAGACCACTCTCCGCACACATGAAGGTACTGGCAGAGGGACAAAGCCACGCGGGTTCCGGGGCCAAGACCTCCAAGCCTACTCGAATTGGAGTCGAGCATCTTCCACCCAGATCCTCCAAATTCCAGTAGGCGGGGGTCACACCCACCACCTGGCCCCCTGGCGCCGTGTAATCCCATCAGCGGCCAAGACTCAGAGACTATAAAATCCAGATCCCGGAACCGCGCGGCCGCATTTGCGGCCGCGCGACCTCTTAACAGAACTTTTTTTTTATGACATCTTATTGTCTTATTCCTACTTTGGACAAACTTGCAGGCTATCGAATGTAGCCTGCCCACAGGGCAGAGTCTGGCAAACTCCCCGTGGCGTACCAAATATGCCAAATACCAGTAACAACGATGGGTCTCATTCTCCTAAAGAGCCGTGAATATAATCTCAGGGCTAGGATGAAAGAGACGTTACTGGGGCCTGCTCGAGGCAATCGACGAATAACAGGATGATGAAATGAAATGAAAAAAAAATTATTATTTAGAACATCACAGTCCCATTCATAGGTGAAGAAATTTGGTTTGGAGTGGAGAAGCAGGTAGGAAGTTCGTGTGTGCCAGGGATCAAACTCGGGTGGGCCATGTGCGAAGCAAATGCCCCACTCGCCGTATTACTGCTCCGGTCTTTATTGTTCTGATTTTTTGGTTTTAGGCCACACCCAGTGGTATTCAGGGCCTACCCCTGGCTCTGTGCTCAGGGATTACTCTTAGAGGGGATCGGGGGACCACACAGGGTGTCAGGGATTTGAACTGGGGTTAGCACCAGCCTTGCATAAGGCTGACCAGGTTCAATCCCCAGGACCTTATATGGTTTTCTGAGCTAAGCGAGAGCAGAACCAGGTGTCCTGAGCATCACTGGGTATGGTCCCCAAACAAAACAACAACAGCAACGAACAGCTCCTTGTGCCTGTCACAGTTTATGTACTGCCCAATTCCACATGGATACCTACAGTTCTAATCCTCAGGGTTTGCCGCCATGGACATCAAATCACTTTAGGTAAATGGTCTAATTTATTTCTCCAACAAACCTACACTGAGCACTTACTCCACGCCTGGTTCTGAACAAGGTACAGGAACGCAAAATCAATCAAGAATCCCTGCAATGTGGAACTCTTAAGACCACAGGGGAAATGACACTAGATCAAGCCCAAACATACGATTACAAAGCCCCATGCTGAGGGCCTCTGCAGAGACGTGGAACCCAGCTAGTTCTCAGGAACACGAAGGCAGTGAGTCATCACTTACTCGAGAGCTAGGGTAAGGCTGCCACCCAGAGTCCAGCTGAGAGGGCTTGAGATCAGAGGGGACGGACAGAATGCACCAGGCCAAGTCACAGCAGACGAACAAGTGACAGGTTTGAAAGGAACACCAGCTCAGCCACACCCAGCCCAACACCCCTGACCTAAATCACAAGCTATAGGGGATCCTGCAGAGCACCACAGAGACCCAGGGGGAAGGGAGGGCCAGGTTCTCCTCCCGCAGGTTCCAATCAGGGAGACGTGAAATTTGCTTCGTTGGAAGAGCCTTCAGGGTGAAATATTCTAAATGGAATAGCTTCCACGAAACTGTTTCCTTTCAAATTTGGAAGTTTATTTTCACCTCCCAATGAAAAAGGTTCATTTGTTTTCAAAATAAATCTTCAGACAGAGGACGGAAGGAAAGGTCCCTTAATGCCATTAGCCAGTCACCAGATAATCCGCACTACTGCATCTTGGAGCTAATTTTACCCTTAGGAAATTGGAGGCAGCCAGCCCAGGCCTGGGGAAAGTCGGTGCGCGCCCTGCCAGAACACCCGAAGTCACACTCTACTCTTACAGCTACTTGCGAAATCGGTGACCTTGACTGAATTTCTACTCCTTTTTTTTCTTCCTCTGTAAATTGCAACTGCAGGTGCCTACCCTGCAGGGCGACTGCAAGGCTTCAATGACAGATCAGAGAGAAACAATCTGGCTTTCGGAAGCAGCAAATGTGACTTCCCTTCTGTTGGTGCCCTCCAGCCAGAGACCGGAGAGGCACAGCTGCAGCGGCACGAGGCACGTGTGCGGCTCCTTCCTGCGAGGGGGCTGTGCCAACAGCACAAACGGCACAGGGAACACAGGTGGGGGGTGGGCTTGGTTACCTGGGCTTAGAAAGCAGGTTTCGCTCTGGGGGTGGTTTTGGAACAAAGTGCCTTTACTGCTGATTAGAAGGAGGGCCAAAACTAGAGCCGGGACAAAGACTAACGGTCACCCGGAATCGGAATGGAGAGATACTGGCAACTTCTGTGTGGATAATGCCGGGGTTCTTATGTATTCACAAATGTGAGCGCTAGCCAGGAGTAAACCCTGAGCACCACCAAAGCAAAACACAACAAAAAAGAAATGAGCGGGCCCTTGTCTACTTCTGCTCTGACTGTAGCGCTGTCACAAAGAGCAGATGCTGGAGAAGCGAGAATCTATGCCAAACCCTCCTTGGGGCCAGCCCGGCCCCCAGACGCTAGAGACGCTCTTGTCCTCACCCTCCCAGCAGGGTATGGGAAAGAGATGCTCCTGTCCTGTATGTGTGGAACTGAAAGGGGAGTCAATGTCCAGCATGCAATTACGGCATTCATGAATCCCACGTCCCGGTGAGGGGCCGGGTGGGCATCAGCGCAGAGCACACGCGGCACTCACAGGCAGCACTGCCACTGGTCCCCGGCAGGGCCGGCAGGGAAACGCGCGCACCCACAAGAGCCTCCACCGGCCAGGGTGACGAAGACGACCTCTCTGCCAACCAAGTGACCTAAGGACAGTGCTGGTGCTAACAGTGCACTGACTACGTGGGAAAAAATAAAAACTGCCAAAACCCAAACATGTTAACTCTATTGCAACCATATTACTGAACAGCAATAAAAAGTTTTATTTGAAATCATAATTAAATGATAGTAACAAAAACACAAACAAAAATCAAAATTTTGAAAAAAAAAAAAAAATCAAAATTTTGTTTTTTGTGGCTTTGGGGCCACAGCTGGTGGTGCTCAGGGGTGACACCTGCTTCTACACTCAGGACGCCCTCCTGGTGGGCTTAGAGGACCATATGAGACGCTGGGGATGAATCTGGGTTGGTCACGTGAAGACAAGCATCCTACCCACTGTACTATCGCTACAGCCTCAGAAAAAAAGTTTATGAAACCACAAGCCTAAGGCTAGAGAGAGTGACTAAGGTGTTTGCCTTGCACGTGGCTAACCCAAGTTCAATCCTGGCACTTTTGCCAGGAGTGATCCCTAAGCACTGAGCCAGGAGTAAGCCCTGAACATAACCAAGTATAGCCCCCAAAAATGAAAAACAAAGAAAATACAGATGTAGAGCAGCGGAGATAGCATGAAGGGTTGAGGGCCTGCTTTGTATGGACTAGTCCTGGGTTTGACCCCCAACACCACATGGTCCTGGATCATGTCAGGAATGAATGACCAGCATAGTTAGGTGTAAACCAAGAACTGAAACTTAAAAATAGAGGCTGGAGAGAGAGTACAGTGGGCACGGTGCCTGCCTTGCACGCAGCTAACCCAGACTCATCCCCAGCACCCAATGTGATCTCCTGAGGGATCCCTGAGCACAGAGCCCTGAGCATCATTGGGTGTGGCCAAAAAATAGAAATGAAGTATCAGGTGCAAAATCTGAATTATGCGTTTCAAGCAGCACCTATTGTTACTAAATCAGAAAGGTACACAAGGCTTCCACAAACTATGTGAATACTTTAAAAATACGCCACCATACCCAGGCCTCAGGAAAGTCCCAGAATAGAAAGCGGAAGGTGCAAAGTGAGGGATTAGGCCCATTTGCGGCCTGAGGCAGCATGCAGGAACCCTGGCCATCAAAAGAACAAACTGCAGCATCACACACCTAAAAGGAGTTTCCAGCTTTTTCCTGATGAGAATAACAGCAGAAACAAAAGCATACAAAGTTCACTGCTAGGTAAACTGTTAGTTTAAAGGGTTTAAAAAGACACACACTTCCCACCCCTAAGGAAACAGTGGGGAATGAATTTAAAAAGGAGACTCAGCTTTGCTTCCCTCAGAGGTGTTGGTAGCAGGGAAATCAAAATTACCCCGTTTATCAGGCCTGTAATAGAGCCCTCCTCTCTGCACCACAGACCACCCCAGTGTTCTGACCCGCTGAGGCCTGGTGGAGGACATTCCGGAAGCTCTGTCCGTCTGATGGCTAAGCTGGCCAGTACTCACCAGGTTTCTGATCAGGCTCGGGCCAGGACTTGCGCAGAACATGGACTGTGGACCCGGGCTGAATGCCGTAAAAGTCAAGAGTCTGCTCATCCTTGAGCTTTCTGCCACAGTAGATCAGATCTAAAAAATAAAACTATCCAATCACAATTTGATCCTCAAAACAATTTTGTTTCTGTCTCTAAAGAAACCTTTCCCTTAACCCCAGGTATGATAATGGGCCTTAAAATGCATGTGACAAAAGAAAATGCATTTATTTAATAAACGCATTTTAATAATAATGGTTAGCTGGCAAGCCCAAACTCAGAAATATACAGAATCACTAACAGGTAAGCTCAAGAGCTCATCACCAGGGCTGGAGCAATAGCACAGCGGGTAGGGCGTTTGCCTTGCACTCGGCCAACCCGGGTTCGATTCCCAGAATCCCATATGCTCCCCTGAGCACTGCCAGGGGCGATTCCTGAATGCAGAGCCAGGAGTAACCTCTGTGCATCACTGGTGTGACCCAAAAAGCAAAAAAAAAAAAAAAAAAAAAAAAGAGCTCATCACCATGGAGATTGGTCAATTTAGATGGGAAAATTGCAAGAACCAACAAAAAGATGATTCCAATGTTGGTTTTTTTGGTTTTGTTTTCTGGGCCACACACAGCGGTGCTCAGGGCTTACTCCTAGCAGGTCTAGGGGACCATATGGGATGTGCTGGGAATCGAATCTGGGTCACTGTGCAAATCAAGAGCCCTACCCCCTGTACTATCACTCCAGCCCTGAATCCAGTGTTGGGTTTTTTGTTTGTCTGTCTTGGTTTTTTGGGTCGCACCTCTGGGTTTTTTGTTTGTCTGTCTGGGTTTTTTGTTTGTCTGTCTTGGTTTTTTGGGTCGCACTGTCAGGAGCAGTTCCTGTGTGCAGAGCCAGGAGTCACCCCCTGACGGTGCTCAGGGAACCATATGGGATGCCGGGGATCAAATCCTGGTCAGCCACATGCAAGTCAAACACTCTACCTGCTGAACTATTACTCCAGCCCCACGAACCCAGTGTTTTTATGAATGACCACTTTTATTTTTTTTCCAGTAACAGGGATCAATCAAGGGTTCTAGCACACAAGGTATGAACTAATGGGTAACATCTCTGACTCCAAAGCACACATTTGAAAAACTTTTTGGGTCACAACTAGCAGTGCTCAGAGTTTACTCCTGGCTCTGCACTCAGGGGTCAGCCCTGACGGGGCTTCAGAAACTACATGCGGTGCTGGAGACTGAACCCAGCTCAGCTGTGTGCAAGGCCAGTGCCCTACCCACTTATGCCATTGGATCCCCTCGCTAGTGAAACCCTGTTTCTAATATAATTTGCTATGCTGATATCCCTTCTTCCTTAGCCCAGAATGAACCCTGCTATCTTTCTATTTTTTAAATTTAATTTTAGGAGCCATGGTTTATTGGTAGGGGTTTTATACTTTCCTTTTTTAAAAACTAACTCTCCACCAACCATCCTTCTAATCATCACTTAAAGGCTCACCTCGATGGGGCTGGAGTGAGCGTACAGTACAGTGGGTAGGGTGTTTACCTTGCATGTGGCCCACCGGGGTTCGATCCCCAGTAACCCTTATGGACCCCCAAGTCCACAAGGAGTAATTTCTGAGTGCAGAGTCAGGGATAAACCTTGAGCACTGCCAGGTGTGGCCCCAAACCCAAAAACCAAACAGAGGTTCACCTCAGAAGTAATATAGTGGGGAGCCTTCTCTGGCCTGTTCATCTTTCTAGACTACCCCCAATTTTTCCAAAAGAAAACTTCAATAGCGTCACAACTTGGAAACCGTGAGAAAAGTAGGTCAGTATAGCCCACAGATGAAAATGCAACCATGGGCCAGAGAGAGAGTACAGCAGGTGAGATGCCTGCCTTGCACGCAGCCAACCTGAGTTGGATTGGCACACAGTTCCTCAAGCACTGCCAGGGGTAACCCCTGAGTACTGCCAGGATCTGGGACCCCCCACCAAAAAAGAGCACAACCAACAGCTTCATTGTGCTTTGGGTTTAGATTCACCAATGCTCATTTTCTACAAGCATGAACATAATAAGGCAATAAATTCCAAACTCTGAATTTTCCTAGTAATTACAGAAGTACCCCGACCCCCGCACTCCCACCACTCACTCCCCTCCCCCAAAAATAAGGACTGCACTTACCAATCAGTTCGGGGTCCGGAACAGACTCCTGGAGCTTGCCAGCGATAAGCTGCTTCAGGAATGAAATGCTGTAACCCCCAAGGGAGTATTCTCCCAGCTCAGACTCTGGCAACCGAAGAATGGACTTTGGGGCAAGCGGCTGGTCCGCCAGCTTCACTGTCAGGTGCCAATCCGAGAGAGACATCCTCTCTCTTTCTCGCTCTCTCTTTCTCCCTATAAGTGAACAGAGCCAAGGTGGTTAAAGGTCACCACCCTACTGCCACCCACCCCAACACCACCACAGTGTCTGCTGTGGGAAAAGCTGTGTCTGTCACCAGGAGGCCAGAACTGTTCGCTGGGGGCCCCTCTCTACTCATCCTCTGTTGAACAGCAAGAAACATCTAAGGCCAGAGCAATAGTACAGGGGTTAAGACACTTCCCTTACACAGCAGCCAACCCTAGGGGAAACCCCAGCACTGCATAAGGCCCCCCAAGCCCCACCAGGAGTGATCCCTAAGCACTGAGCCAGGCGTCAATAAGCCCTGAGCATCCCCAGACGTGGCCCTCCCCACCCTTCCAAAAGCACCAACTCCCTAGGCCTGTGTCTTGGAAGAGGACAGTGGAACAGCAACCCCCCATCCCCCAATAACGGGAACGCGGTGAGACTCCAAAGCAATTCAGTCCTCTCTTCCTTGGCCTCACTCATTTTCCTCCATCATCTCTGGCTTGAATGACGACCGTTCTGGCCTTCCGGGGACAGAACCGCAGCTTCTCCCCGCCTCTCGCCTCTCTCCAAAGGGTCATGCAGAGGCACAACTCGCCGTTTAAAGCAGGGGCGGTCCCAGGGACCGCAAGCTCTGGGGACTAGGAGGACGCCTGGCATGCAGGAGGCCCGAAAACAGAGGCCAGTGTGGCTCCCCCAAACTAAAGCGACCACTAAACAAATAGACAGACCCAAGTCGGACCCAGGCACACCCAGCTGATGCTTAGAACCGCTCCACCTGTGTCTAGGTCTCATTGACTGTCCGGGCTGTTTCAGTGACCACACACACACCGGGCTGTTTCATTGAACACACACACACACCGGGCTGTTTCATTGAACACACACACATACACACCGGGCTGTTTCATTGACCACACACACACACACACACACATACACACCGGGCTGTTTCATTGACCACAAACACACAAACACACACACACACACACACACCGGGCTGTTTCATTGAACACACACACACACACACACACACACACACACCGGGCTGTTTCATTGCGTGCACGCACACACACACACACACACCGGGCTGTTTCATTGAACACACACACATACACACCGGGCTGTTTCATTGACCACACACACACACACACACATACACACCGGGCTGTTTCATTGACCACAACACACACACACACACACACACATAGGGCTGTTTCATTTAACACACACACACACCCCGGGCTGTTTCATTGAACACACACACACACACACCCCGGGCTGTTTCATTGCGTGCACGCACACACACACTGGGCTGTTTCATTGACCACAACACACACACACACACACACACACATAGGGCTGTTTCATTTAACACACACACACCCCCCGGGCTGTTTCATTGAACACACACACACACACACACCCCGGGCTGTTTCATTGCGTGCACGCACACACACACACACACACACCGGGCTGTTTCATTGACCACAAACACACACACACACACACCGGGCTGTTTCATTTAACACACACACACACACCGGGCTGTTTCATTGCGTGCACACACACACACACACACACACACACACACCGGGCTGTTTCATTGACCACACACACACACACACACACACACACCGGGCTGTTTCATTGACCACACACACACACACACACACACCGGGCTGTTTCATTGAACACACACACACCGGGCTGTTTCATTACACACACACACACACACATAGGGCTGTTTCATTGAACACACACACACACACCCCGGGCTGTTTCATTGAACACACACACACACACCGGGCTCTTACATTGCACACACACACACACACACACACTTCATTACACACACATACACACACACACACACACACCGGGCTGTTTCATTGACCACAAACACACACACACACACACCGGGCTGTTTCATTTAACACACACACACACCGGGCTGTTTCATTGCGTGCACACACACACACACACACACACACACACACACCGGGCTGTTTCATTGACCACACACACACACACACACACACACACACACACCGGGCTGTTTCATTGACCACACACACACACACACACACACCGGGCTGTTTCATTGAACACACACACACCGGGCTGTTTCATTACACACACACACACACATAGGGCTGTTTCATTGAACACACACACACACACCCCGGGCTGTTTCATTGAACACACACACACACACCGGGCTCTTACATTGCACACACACACACACACACACACACTTCATTACACACACATACACACACACACACACACCCGTCCCCTCTGCCCGCCTTCCTCCCCCGCGTCTGCGCTCCCCGCTCCCCTCCCCGGCCTCTAGGTCGAGCGCGACCCCCGCCAGCCGCCGCCCCCACCCCTCCCCCCACCCCCGTGCTCGCAGGCCGAGTGCGCTCGGACCCGGCCCGGCCCCCGCCCGCGCCCCCGGACGGGCTTTACCCGCCGCGGGTGACAGACCCGGGTCCGGCCTCGGAGAGCTCGAGTCACGGCCCAGGTCGCAGAGGCGCCGCGCCGCGCGGGGACACTCGCCGCGACGCGCCCCCCGCGCCCGCGGAGCCGGCGACACGCGGCAGCAGCGTCGGGCCCGCGGGACCCGCGCCCCTCACCCGTCCCGCGGAAGGATCGACCGCAGCGCCGCCGCCGCAAACACTCACTCCGCGGGGCCGCCGGAAGCCGGAAGCCGGCGCGCCGCGCTGCGTTCTGGGAGTTGTAGTCTCCGCGCCCAGGCCCCGCTTCCGGTTCCGGGAGGGGCGTGGTTTCGGGGGCTTTTTTTTCCTTTTTCTTTTCTCTTTTTTTTTTTTTTAAGGACTTTGGACAAACTGGCAGGTTACCGAATGTAGCCTGCCCACAGGACAGAGTCTGGCAAACTCCCCGTGGCGTACCCAATATGCCAAATACCAGTAACAATGACGGGTCTCATTCTCCTAAAGAGCCTTGAATATAATCTCGGGGCTAGGATGAAGGAGACGCTACTGGGGCCTGCTCGAGGCAATCGACGAATAACAGGATGATTTGGGATTTGTGTGATTTGTGAAAGGCAATACCTGGTATGCGTGGGAGTCAGCCTCCGGCGTGTGCCTCACAGCCGACTTGACTTTTCTCAGGAGGCCCGCAGCGGGAACCAAGGGTTCCCCTTGCTGTGCCGGGGCGAGGGCAGGGGCAGGTGACCCCTACTCCGCCCTGTAGCTGGGGGTTGGAGGGTTCGCCATCGCTCGGCTTAATTAAAGGCTGAAGGTTCCCTCACCTCCGTCCTACCGAGCTGTCAGTCCTCGCCCACTGTCAGGAGCCCTAGCCATCCTGCCTTTCTCTCCTGGATACGAGGGTAATTGCACCCCAGCCTCATCTTTTAGGAGGCGCTGGGAAGGATCCTGTGTGCATCTTTTTCTCGAAGTGGAGCTGAATACACATACACACTGGCTGTTCGTGGATTTCTTGTTTGGGTCCATTTCCTGTAGCCGGGCACTTCCTGAGCTCTCCACACTCGTGGGCACGTGGGAGGCAAGCGACCCCATGCTCAAACTGTACTTAGGGGAGTGGTTAGCCAGTTGTGGGCAAGGCAGGCCTCAGCCCCCACCCCTGGTGAGAGGGGAGAGAGCTTGCCAGGGACAGGGAAGGGCACAGGGCAGGGAGAGGGAGATATCCTGGCATCCACCACAGCGCCTGGACACTTCCCCTGCTGAAGGTGGCGCCCCTAACCAGTCTTCTAGAACCCCAGCCCAGAGGTGCTCACACCCTCCAGGCCTGCAGAAGCCCAGGGTCCCAGCTCCCAGGGACAGACCGGTTGGGGACAGACTCAGCTGAGCTCCTGAGGCCACCAGGACCACACAACCTCATCTCCCCAAATTTGAAATTTGAAATGTCCAGGAGGCTGAAGGTAGGCACACATGTCTCTATACTTTGCTGGGATGAATGGTCTCCCATTATGAATGGTCCTCAGTACCCGACCTGTCTGTGCCCTGTGTGGAAAGACCAGGTGGGCTCCCAGGGGCAACTCCCAGCACTGCCTTCCTGAGTTCCCATCAGTGTCCCCAGAGCATGTGGGCTCATAGGGGCAACTCCCAGGAAACTTTCCTGGGTTCCCATAAGTGTCCCCATAGGCCACAGCCAGTTACTGTCTATAGCTCCAGCAGGGATGTTATACAATGCTGGGCCCACTTGCCACATAACACCCACAAATAATGTGGCCTAGCACATGATAGGGCAGACATGGTGCTGCTCAGTAATGCCCATAGCCTGTCTGCCTGTACTGTGTGGTCATAATGATACTATAAGTATACAAATGGCCCTTGGCAGAAAAAAAGTTCCCAGCCCTGGTCCCTGGAATGATACCTAGGAAGGGCCACTGTCCCACAATGACAGCCACAGTGTGCATTTGTACTCTCAGGCTGGCCAACTCACCCAGAAAGCAGGCAGGAAAGGGCAGAGGGCTGGACAGTCACACTGACACCTTGGAACAGAAGCCCAAGGAAAACTGACACGGGAAGGCCGCATTTGGAGGGAGGTTTAGCCAACACAGACTTACCCCAAAAACGAGAAAAAGTGAGCCAGAGAGATTGTACAGAGGCTAAGGCACTTGCCTTGCATGTGGCTGCGGTCATGGCAATGGTTCAATCCCTGGCACCCCATGTCCTCCAAGCACTGCTAGGTGTAGTCTCTGAGCACTGCTGGGGGTGGCCTGAAAAATAAAGAAGGAAAGTCACAAACAGACAATCTTAACTCTAGCATATGTAAAAGAACCTAGGAAGAACAAATGAAAATATGTGGAAGGAAGAAAGTAATAAAAATTATGGTATGAATACATGAACTAGAGATGAATAAGACAATTAAAAAGAAGATTAATAAGGGGGACCAGAGCGATCGTATGGTGGGTAAGGAGTGATTCCTAAGCACAGAGCCAGGAGTAAGCCCAAAAACAAAAAAATCAAACAATAGCTGGGGCTGGAGCGGTAGCACAGCCGGGAGGGCGTTTACCTTGCACGTGGCCAACACAGGTTCGATTCCCAGCTTCCCATATGGTCCCCCGAGCACCACCAGAGGTAATTCCTGAGTACAGAGCCAGGAGTAAACCCTGTGCATCGCCGAGTGTGACCCAAAAAGCAAAAAAATAAATAAATAATTGAAAAATAATAAAAAAATAAATAAAACAATAGCTGACCAGAGTGATCGTACAGCATGCCTTGCACATTCCTGACCTGGGTTCGATCTCTGGCATCCTATATGGTCCCCTGAGCACCACCAGAAGTAATTACTGAGTGCAAAGCCAGGAGTAACCCCTGAACATCTCCAGGTGTGGCCCCAAAATAAAATAAAGCAACAACAAAACAATAAAACTGAAAGCTGGTTCTTTGCAAAGAAAAAAATTGAGGCTGGGGCTAGTTCAGTGGTAGTGGCTGCCTTGCAGATGTGAGGCCATGAGTTGGATTCCTAGCATTACCCCATGTGCCCAGCATGATCCTGGTGGCACTGCCGTCTGCTACAACACAGCATGTAACACACCCCCGCCTCCCCCCACCAAGCACATACCTAAAGTGTGCAAATACCACACACCACAACTAAGCGTGTGTGTGAGATCCCAGGTCACAGCAATAAGAGCAGAAGGAAGGGAAGGCGGGGGGGGGGGGGGGGGTTGCAGGGAGGGATGAAAAAAATATGCAATCCTTTATCTATGCTCACAAAACCAGGAAGCTCAAATAAATAAAACCAGAAATGAATCAGTAACTTCTCACCAAGAGAAGGCCCCAAACGCCATGCACCAATGCAACTGGGAAATCTAGAAAAGGAAGGATTCTGAGAAATACACAATCTTCCCAGACGGAACCAAGAAAAATAAAAGCCCAGAACGTGACATCAGCAACACAGCAGAGGAAGGAGCTACCCCGGGGACATTGGACAACACTGACTCGAGGAACTAAATACTCCCTCCTCTCCTTCTAAGAAAGCCAGAGTGAAATGAGGAACTTAGCACGCCTCCCGAAACCCTGAGCAGGGGACAGTGACAGGGATCTGTGACCACAGACCTCCCCTGAGTTCACCAGGAATAGGGCATTCGGACATTGTGTGCTCCAGATCCTGGTCCCCAAACTCCCTGACAGAGACACCAGCAGTTCTGCCCCTGACTCAATGCCTACCTCCTCTTTCCTCCCAGAAAAAACACAAAGCTAAAGCCGCAGCTCCACCTACTGGGAAAAACGGTGCTTTTGAATCAAGTCAGTGTGGCAATGGAAGCTGTCACAGCCAAAAATTACAGGGAATGGCATGAAAGAGAACAGGGAAGGGCAACAGGGAATAGTCAAGCTCCAGAAATCAAGCTTAAAGACAAAGAATTGAGTGTTCTTACAGATCATTCAAAATAGCTGTCAGGCAGAAACCAAAGAAGACACAGGCTGCAGGGGCATGGTGCCGCCAACAGGTCAACCTGTACCTGCCGGGCTAGTGCATCAGCAGCCTGATGGTGCCTTCAGGCTTCCTGATTCCTCAAAATGTTGCTATATCTTTGGCCAGACACCAACAACTTGGGGCCAAGTTTATCAAGAAATTAAACCATCAAAAGTCAGGTATGTGAGGGGCTGGACCGATAGCACAGTGGGTAGGGCGTTTGCCTTGCATGCAGCCAACATGGCCAACACAGGTTCGATTCCCAGCATCCCATATGGTCCCCCGAGCACCGCCAGGAGTGATTCCTGAGTGCATGAGCCAGGAGTGACCCCTGAGCATTGCCGGGTGTGGCCCAAAAAGAAAAAAAAAAGTTAGGTATGTGAGAGCCACACCCACAAACCACCTCCAGATTAGCTCTACAAGCTCATTGATTCACCTTGTTTCAGAGACCCATAGAGAAATCTCAAAAGAGATCAAAAGCCACAGTTAATCTCAGACCGACACATGTCTGAACAGACTGGGGTAAATCAGAGGGGGACAGGTTGGCCTGTGCCCACCCAAGCAGAGCCCCCAGCAGCCACTTGCTTCCATAATCCAAAATCGCCGCCATTCCCTGGCCTGACTCCACGGTCTCAGGAAGGACCTCACGGAGATATAATCTGCTGAAAAGTTTGTAATGTGGAGCGTAGGGCACCAACAGCCCTGGCCCAGAGACACAGCAGCAAATCCCTGAAGACACCACAGCACCGCAGATCTCTTCAGGCCCCAAACCGAGCCAATTTCACCAGGGTACCTACCCCAGATGGAGCAGGTGAGGTCTCCCCACCCATTCCAGATAGAACCCCAGTGATCAAGAGCTTCCACAAGCGAGGTCCAGGTACGCGGCTTCCAGGACTGAATCTCCAGGCCACGTGGTGGCAGAGGACCTGAGCTGTCCCTCCCTGGGTCCCTGACCGCCCAGCAGACTGGCCGTCACTTAAAAAAATCACTTAACTTCCCGTTAGTCGTCGATTTGCTCGAGCGGGCGCCAGTAATGTCTCCATTTGTCCCTGTCGCGTGCTAGTGTAGCCCAATGGCATCTGTTCGCTCCGGGAACATGAAGGGCCTCAAACCGATCGTTCATGACCTTGACAAAGAAGTCTGACCATCTGGTAGGTGGGCGGCCAC